ACATTTTTTTACCGACACTTCAAAAATAATTCTCATAAAAATCGAAAATTTCAGTTGTCTATAAATAACTCAAAAAAGTCAAAATTTTTGAAAATTAAACTGTATATAGATAACACTAACAAACATTAGGTGAAAAATTTCAAGTATTTACAGTGATTATTTTCTGATAAAAACTTAAACCCAAAAAAAATCACCTGGCTATGATAAAATTAGTCCAAAATTAGTCCAAAAATACTGAAAAAACTTCCAAAGAAGGCTAATATTCATCTTACGCACATATACAACGCTATTTTGCGCACGGAATACATTCCAGAACAAGGGAAACGGGCACAAGTGATCAGTTTGCTCAAACCAGGAAAACTGCTGGAAAATGTCACATCATATCAACCAATATCACTCCTTCCAAGCTTAACTAAATTTATAAAGAAACTTCTACCTAAACGCCAAAAACTGATTATAGAAGAAAAAATCTTATACCAGAACATCAGTTTGAACTTGGCGATCGACAATCGATCAAGTACATCGAGTTACTAATGTGATTAATAAAGCTCTTGAAAAAAGTAATGCTGTGAAGTATTCCTTGACGTAGCAGAGACTTTTGACAAATCTAGCACAAAGGATTCCTCATCAAACTGCGTGATCAGCTGCTACATACCTAGTATGCAGTTCTTGAATCATACTTGACTTATCGTCTATTTCGAGTCATACACTAAGAAGCAATAAYTGAATGAAAAGACATATCAGCTAGAGTACCACAATGAAGTGTTTTAGGACCTATCTTGTAATTACTATATATACGTCTGATATACCAAACGATGACAACACAACATTAGCTAAGTTTGCCGACGATACGGTGATTTTGTCAACATGTAATAGTCAGCTAACTGCAACTGATAACTTACAGAAGTCAATTGATAATATCTTTGCCTGGACAAGATGTTGGAAAATAAAGATCAATGGTGATAAATCGGTGCACGTTAGTTATACGCTACGAAAAACCGAAAACATCCAAATAGTACTGAATCAATTACCAATCCCACAAAAATATTTAGCAAAAAATGACTCTCGTCTAAACTGAAAACATCACGTTCGTCAGAAAAAAAATCAAATAGAAGAAAAAATACAAAAGCTTTATTGGTTAGTCGGACCTCACTCTGAGTTAACTATCGAAAACGTATACTGTATGTAGCAATTTAAAACCTATCTGGACTTACGGCATTCAAATGTAGGGTTGTGCCAATAAGCTTAACATCGATATAATACAACGCTATCAAAACATCGCCCTTTAAACCATCACTGTGGCCTACCGGTTCGAACGAAAGAACGCAGATCACCGTGATATGATGCTACCTACAATAGCACACGAAATCCAAAGACGTCTGTAACCATACATCTTCGTTTAAGATTTTAGATTAAGGCAAAAGCCATTTCACTAGAAGTGACTCAATCCACGGTACGTATAATTTATCTAGTATGTAAAATATGTATAATTGTCAAATATATTTATAAAGACCTTTGAATCGTTTAAATAATAAAGCCTCAAGGGATTTTTTTTTTTWAAAAAGAAAACTTTCTACATTTATACGCATTATAATTTCACGAAAACCCATTTTCATGTTCATGTATTAAAATAATTGTACTGTATATTTTCTGAAATATAAATTTTTAATTCTGGTATTTTGGATTTTCTAATATTARATTATGCATATCTGAGAGCAAGTTAAGTATATGAGAATTTAGTTTTTCTTCGCTTTTGGTAATTGAATCTTCTTCTACTTCACAATGTTCATCGGGTTCTGTTGGTTGAAACGAATAATATTTCCTTTTATATTTGATAGCAATTGAATGTCCATTTTTGAGTTTTGCAGACATCATATCCCACTCACCATCATCACTGTGCTCATTATCATCGGGACATTTAAGATCAGATACTTTTGGACATGTATGACAATCGATTGTTGTATTAATAAACTGATTATTGATGTCTACATCTATGGGCAAGTCATTTATGAGGTTTGTTGTAGGTGGAGCTATAACAATGGTTATGTCCAAAGTGGCTATAAGTTCACCCTTATGGTCGTTGAATCGTACAGTAGTTTTCACCTTAAATTTATTAATAAAGTATACACAGTTAATTATAATTTTACACACACATATATATATATATATATATACATACTATATCAGTGGTTTAACAAACTAACTGTTAGTTACTCACATCTAACATTTGATTGTAAAAGAGTAAATCTCTATAACAAATTTTATTCGACTAACCTGTTTTGGAGAATCACCGGGTGTAGGGTCATTKCAGAAAACATCTCGTAAAGCATTGGTGACATCTACCACAGATTCTGACAACATTTTTTCCGGATCAGTTTGATACAGATTTATGTATACGATGAATTCCTTGCACAATTCAGATTTTGTATGACCATTGATACCAAATGTAAAAGATCCCCCGGTATACAAATACAATGGATTCGAAGAAGGAAAAACTGGTTCAAATAATCTTTGATCTTTATAATTCAAGAACCTCACATTTGCTGTTATTTGTCCACCAATAGAGACATCATCTTGAAATTTTATATTAATTACATTAAATGATAAAGTTAAAATTTTCATTTTGCTCATGATAATAAATTTTCATTGATTATTAAAACACAATTTTAAATATAACTGCACTTTATAATTTTCTTCAAAACTAATTTAATTATTGGTTGTAATTAATATAAAATAAAATAATATAAATATTTGTATTAAGTATGTCGTCTAGGTAATATAAAATTATCAAACAAACTTTACCATGAAATATTTAACAAGGTTATCATGGAACTTTTTTTTTTAATAGCTTTTATTTTTACTATTATAGCTCAACAATTATATAAAATAACATAACTAGATAATAATAAAATATTACAAAACATGCAAGGAGTTAAAAACAGCAATTATCTTAAATGCAATTATATGATAAAACCAGCCTCTATAATAAAATTAATAATTATATTTACGACTATTTCCGAATTGGAGTTGAGGATAGAAGAAAGATTGAGGGGGACATTGATGGATTTAAGAGAATTAAACAAAATTCTTGAAACTTATTTCCCACAAATCGTGTGACATAAATTTCACCTACAATGCTATTATTTCTCAAGATTATAGGTTATTAATTACCACAAATATTAAAAATTATATCTAATTATTTAAAAATGTATAAGGAAATATTATATAGCATGAATAAATAAAATACYTAATACCTAAATCCTATAATTTTATTAGATTGTACACAAATTGTTGTAAATTAAAAATATTATAAATTCTAAATAGAAAAAGGTAACATATTGATTTGATTTTATGAATCACACCATATACTTACATATCTTATATTCGTCATTAGCAGATTCTTATATACCACAAATATAGTACAATACTAGTCATACTAGACAAATATAAATAACGTACAAGTGCCTACAGTTTTGTAAGATTACAAAATATAAACAAAAATGTCTGTAAATCTAACACTAATAGTAATTAAACTAATATAATAATGCAAATATTTATCACGATAAATAATATAACATGCAATTAGTTATTTTTATTTTTAATTGACTGTTAGGTTGGTTGGTGAACTATTGTAGTTACTGTAATGATATAAAATTATTAATTTCAATTTTAGTATTGATAATCTAATATATTCATATGTGCAATTTAATGATTGTTTATCTGAACGTACTGTATTTGTAAAAATTATATTTTGTATGCTGTTATATTTTCATGACATTTACCTTTGACAAAAAATTTATTATTTAAGCAAATAAAAAAGTACTCTAAACTTTGGATCACATAAGTATCAACTAGATAAAACTTTTATATGATTTGAAGATTAGAATTTATTCACTAGGAGTTTTGTATGAGTGGAACAAAACGAAATAAGAAAGAACAAGTTAAGATAGTTTGATCAATGATCATGTTTCAAAAAGTATGAGAGTGATTATGAAAATAGATGTAAAAGGGAAGAAAAAAGAAGAAAAATTGAAGAAGAAATAGACAAACGGAATAGAGAACACGAAGCTAGCTTGTAAAGTAGTGGTGAAGGAACTTAACTCTGTGTATACGCATACGAATGTTGTAGTCTAAGCAAATTACAAAAAAAAATAAA